GCTTTTATAAGTCTTTTATAAAAATATAATAGCTGAAGATGATAAAATAATGCAGTGCTCCCTGTAAATACGGAAAGATGTGAGGCGCTGGGCATCTTGAAACTCTTGTATGCCACAGATCTAAAATACTAGTCATTTATCTTTTTAAATATCTCTACCTAAATGTTATCTTTGCCACTACAGTTAAAAGAGGTGTTCACAATTTTATGTTCTAAAATATAATGTGTTTACGAATGCTGAGTTTAAAACTTATTTCTAGTACATATCCTTTATTAGTACATTAAATGTTTTACCCATTGAAAAAATAAAGGAAAAATTTGAGCACAAAATATTATAATTTCGACTTGAAATAGAAGGATGCTAGCATCCCAAGATGAAGAAAGGAATAGGAGTCTGATGTTCAGTATTTTGACTCTGTAGAAGTGATTCTTTTTCTTTCAAGCAGCCTTGAGAGTAGGAAGTTAGAGGGCAGAGCCAGGAGGTCAGACATGAGAGTCAAGGAAGTATGAATGACATCATCATCCCTAAGTAGCCTCTCAGAAGATGAATGAGCTCTCTCTTGTATTACAATGCTAGAGAGCATTAGAAGGTGATATGATATCTAGACAACACATAAGATAAATGCCTCACAGCATGCTAGAACAGCTTTCCCCCCACGCCCTCCACAAGTACATAAATCCTTTGGTGGTCTCAATAATACCGTATGTGGCTGATGAGTATTTTATATTGTGGTTAGCTTCTTGACAAAATTCATTTAGATTTAATAAGTACCTTAAATACTCTAATTTAGTTACTGGAGTTGAATAACTAACTGTAACTCAAGATACCGTTTTGCTGACTGGACTCACAGTACTGCTGGGGCACAGAGTGAATTTTTTTCACTAGTCACCCAGTAAAAAATAAGCAGAGAGATCCCATATTTTTTAAGGCTGCCAAAGAAATTATTCATCATGATAAAGCTTGACCCAAAATGTGTTTGTTGTAATGGTGTAATATACTTGAAATGTAAGTTTTATGTTATTAATGAATTCCTGCTGAACGGAATGCATGTCACAGTCAAAACATGCAAAGTTGCTTTAATGTTCAAAGTACATTCAGTTGGAAGTGGATTTCATCTGAATTACAGTCTTTGTGCTTCAAAAACAATCATTCTCATATCCTTATATAATCCATCCTACGGTAATTTTGGAATGCGCAAAGTCACAACAGGCTATACCCCAGCTCTTCTTTTGCTTATGTAAAGATTTGATACAAATATTAGTTGCATTTTTGTTTCACAAATTAAAAAAAAATAAATCCCGCAGTAGAAAATCGGCTTCTGTTTGGAATTGACTCTGAATCATGGCGTGTAACTGGGGGGCAGAATTCTGATTCATCATATTTAATCTCTAAAGTAGTTTCTGCTCATTTCAATATTTTTGTTATTTTTATAGAAACAAAATTGTGCTCATTTGAAAGAAAATGCAAGACAAGAAGATCCTCACTTTGCCTCAAACTAAAAGCTGCATAGTCCTTTATTCCAAATGAAACAGCGTCAGACTTTTCACATTTGTAGAAGAGTGGATCTTCCTTGATGAATACCTCCATAAATTAGATATTAGCTATAGTAAAATTCTGTCTCTTCAGAAAACATTTCCACTAGCATATTCAATTGGAAAGGTATTACATGATGCCCACCTACTGCTATGAAAATTCATGGTTCTATGATGAAGGCACATGAGAATTTCTGTGAACAAAAAGTATATTGAAAATCAGATCTTGAGCTTATGTAGAGATTTCTGTTTGTAGTATGCGAGTTTCACTCACTTTTTGATGTCTGTCTGCTGCTCTGTCCACCTATCTGTCTGTTTATCACCATTGCAGTGATAACATGCAGTATCAATTGGATTTTAAAAGACATAGATCTTTTATATTAGCTGTCCTTTTTTATAATACCTTTTACAAATTTAATCAATGCATTTTAATATACTATATAGTTTAAGTGCAATATACAATAAATGTTCAAGCTTCATCTTATACATGCTCTAGCCTTTAAATTGTTAAAACTGCAGTGCCCTTTCAATCTACTTACATAATGTCATAAAATATACATTTCAAGGTAAATGAAGTCAGCTACTTCAATTTAGTCCCTCAAACTGGTAGTAAATGAGAGGTTAACACTATGGTGCCAAACCCATTATTGAGTAAATTTAGCACCTTGGACAGCTCTGTAAAATCTTTATTGCTTTCCTGACCTGCTCGTCATGTTCTGTCTATGTGTTCAGTGGCTCTCAGCTCTGATTGAAAGGCAATATATTAGATCCCGAACACAAACATGCTCGGGGGCTGCTTCACTGTGAGCGTAATGACATGGAGGTGAGAACAATTTTCTGGTCACCGCAATCCAAGCACCTTGCAAGGTCTGTTGCTCTAACTTATAGAGGACTTTCGGGGCTCCTTTCTATGTGAAGACGTAACTGTAGTTTCTGTTGTAATTTAGGCAGAGCTGTAAGAGGTTTAAGATACATCCAGAAAAAAAAGAAGTTAATATCCTGAGTGTATCTGTAGTAGCATTTGATTGTGTATTTTTAAAGCTAGTTTGTGTCTATAGTTATATTGTCAGCTCTGGAATAGAAAATACCATGTATCTGACACAGGATGTACGATCTGAAAGTATCACAAACAAGAAATGCATCTTGATGTGTGTAAATATTGTTAGAGAAAGTAAGAAACTCAAATTTACAGATTCAAAAATGTTGACAAAAATAGCCATTGACTAGCTAGGAAAACTGAATGTTATTTGTCAAACATACTTAAATAAGCCATCATGATAATTAGTTTTATTTACATGCAATATGATACGTTTTCAAATACCTTCCATTTTTTTTAAGAACTGGAATATATTTAATATGAAGTAGAGCACCTGTAAGATTCCATGTAATTTCCTCATTTTTTTTAACATGGTCTTCAATCTCTTTTTTGATGCAACATAAGTTTTTTTTTTTTTTAGCTCAGCATTACATAAATAACTATGAAGAGTCAGGTAATTAAACTTTCTTTTTTTAGTAATTGAGCATAATGATAGCTTTGGTTAACGATATTCCAAAGCAGTTTGTGGGCTCTTTATCACACTCTAATTTTGTATTAGTGAAATATATAGTGCAAACACATTCTACTGAAGTAAATCCTAGTTTAAAAAGTCAAACACTTTTATAATAATTTCCCGTTTGAAATCATTTTAATGTTTCTATTCCTCTCCAGTTTTTATTTTCAACATGAGGGAAAAAGGGCTACATAGTTTTCCGATGATTTTGGTAAAGCAGCAAGGATTGATCGTACCTGGATGTTGCTTGTAGTCTGCCTGCCCATAATTATATGGCTAACAGTTGTGGTCAAGCTACACACACACACAGGGGGAGGGTAGGGGGGGAAAGAGAGAGAAAAGAAGAAAAGCTGTAGCAACCTTACTCCTCAGAATGTTTCAATACAGTGATTCAAAAATCCATCGATTACATATTACATCTGACTTCATACGTGGAAAATAATTTAAATGTGTGTTATGGGAGAGGGGTGTGTGCAGCAGAAGGCAATCCTAAATGTTTACTGGAAGTACAAAAATCCTCCATCTCATTTTTGAATTTAGGACATTATATATGTCATAAGTAGTTACTGCAGTATGACAACTGTTTTATCTTATATTACAGAGAATTTAAAATTGAAAAAAATGCTAATATGCATCTAAAAGCTTGTCATTTGAAGAGTTGTTCAAGGATTTTTGAAGAGGTTATGGTGACAGCAAAATGAATGCAATTATATCTCTATTTTCTGATCAGAGTCTACAGTATATGAAAATTGAGCATTACTGTTTCTTTTTGGTATAAAATATGGCTATTGTGTAAAATATTTTAACTTTTAAAGTTTAACTTTGTAGAAAACTGGAAAATGCTCAGATCAGTTACTATTTTTGTAAGCTACCTACAGAAATACGATGTGGTGAATAACATCATGTTACTATTTAAGGCAACATGTAAGGACTGGGAATTACAATGCATTGTTTTATGTGAAGGACAGTCTGGGCTGTGTTTGGTTGGGCAATTGGGAATCTGCTAGGTGCTTTTAAAGAATACGAAAATAAAATTCTTCTGGGTTAATTTTGTAATGCGTTTTTACAGTTTTAATCAGGTTTGTTCACAGGGATTTTTCCACACTGTAAAATGTAAGAACACAGGATTACATGCTAGTATTACTTGAATGTCAGTTTAAAATGCTACAGGAAACATTTAAGACAAGAGAATCAAATAGGAAAATGGAGGGGGAAAAATGAATAAGAACTAAATTTATGCCTACACTGAGAACTGTGTCCTAGCCTGCTTTAAATTTTGCTGTCCATGCTGGCAGTTTTGCCAGGAAACACTGCATGGCACAGGGCCATTCTCTCATATTGAATGTGTTTTCCTCTTACGCATGTTGTGAACACGGATCCTTCCCTTATCCGTTATATCAAGACACAAACCAAAGAAGTTGAAAGGTTACATTACCAGTAGCATAGAACTGATTGGATATCTTCAGAACGTGGCCTGCTGGGTAAGGTCACAATTCCTGCAGTATGCAATTAAGAATAAAATAAACACATTGAAGGGATGCCTAACATGCTCTGAATGACATTGATTGCAGTAATCTAGTAAATGACCTCAGGATTGTATTCCGCAATAAACCGATGAGTGGTTTATGGTGCAGATGGTAAAGACAATTGAGTGATGTATTTTATTTTGCAGCACCAATGATTCTCACCTTTTGACTTGATTAAGCGTGTGTGCGAATAGGATCAACTACTGATTTAACACCATTCAGTGGTTGCTGAGAGTTGTTAAAATTAAAGTCTGCCTGGTGGGGGGGGTAGGGGGGAAACAACACAAAGCAACAGTGCACCCGATAGAATAATATGAAAGACTCTAATAGTTGTTTTCCCTCACAAGAAGGCTACTGAACTTAAAGGAACGCATCTGTTTTTATATTGGCAGGAAGTAATACTTAAGAGGGCTGCTGATTTAGTAGAAGCACTCTACGGTATGCCACATAATAACCAGGTAAATGCATTCTCCTTTAGCAGTTCTAAAACATGGCTATTTCTTAGATGTATAGATCAGAGGCTAAAGGTATATGATACTACAATGTGAGACGAGAAAAAACACATAGGGCAATGTCGTATCTGGAGCGGGGCTTAGTTTGCCTTCTTGCTTTTTAAAGTATGTGGATGCTTGCAAAAGCAACGTGTTATTAACCCTGGAGGCATTTGCCCACTATCACCAGAGACCGTATAATCTGGGCAATGATATGCATTACTACTTGCCACCAGTGATGTTTCGGCCTTAACCTAAAGATATTTTAGCTTTAGGTGGAGGGAGCCTGGGCTTCAGTGCCATTCTGCCAGCTTCTCTTGTTATACAGAAATGTGGCCACTGGGACTGAAGCTTCCAGCTCTTTTACCACGGATGTCAGGATTTATAGCAAAGCAAGCAGGTCTATAAGTGTTAGCAATCCATCAGCCAGCTGGTTTAGGAAGAAAAGCATCTACTTTTTGCCTTTGGACAGGGAAATGTTTTATTTTGATATGTAAGAAAAGGTTTGTCAGAGTTGAGTTAGTAACTCTTTTTTACCCTTGTCCCCTAGGAAATAATCCTGAAAAGAGCAGCAGACATCGCGGAAGCACTCTACAGTGTCCCTCGCAATCACAACCAGCTCCCCGCCCTTGCTAACACGTCAGTCCATGCAGGAATGATGGGAGTGAATTCCTTTAGTGGTCAACTAGCTGTCAACGTATCTGAAGCCTCACAGGCCACCAATCAGGGTCAGGAGAAGACTCGTCTTCCTCTCTTTATGAACCTTTTCTGATAACAGTCAGGCAAACGTGCAGAGTGATGAAAGAGAGATGGTTCAAAGCTGAACACAAGGAGCACATCCAGACAGCATCCCACATGCACGTACAAACTGAATTGCACAATACTGCCATGAGATACGGCTTTCTGTAGTGAATTTGACCCCAGTTCAGGAGAAGCCCTTGTGCAAATCACCAAATCAAATGAACCAAATCACTTTTCTGTCTGCTCAGAATCTAACACTTGTGTCTGCCTTTAAATCCCACTATTTTTAAAAAGGGTTTTTATCGACCTGAGTGTATACTTAATCTTAAGTACTTGCTTATGCATTTTCCTAAACATACATGGTCTCTAAGTCTGGGCATTATGTAATAATTTCTTGTGACATGAAAGTGTTGGTTTGGTTTTGCAATACGCGATATTGGCACAAATTTTTTTCAGAGTGAAAGTTTTTTCTAAATTTTGAAAGCAGGAAAAAAGAATTATTTATAGAGGCATTTTCAGAGCTTCGCTCATTTTTATAATAAAGTATTTTTCACATTGAATAAAAACAATTCAGTATTTTAATTTCTACTGTTAAAAATATTTATTTTAAAATATTTATTTTATGGCCATTTTTGTAAAAACCTCTTGTATTTTTCCCCTCTATTTTGCCCAGCTTTATTACCTGCCTTAAAATCCATTTTAGTGAGGAAGCAATAGAAAGAGACTGTTATTTGGAAGGGTAAAAAAAAATGTTTTGCACTATTCTGAGAAATAGAAATGATTTTTAAATCATAATATTTTATGGATGTAGTGTGGAACAGGAAGAAAAAAATTGTATTTTATCTTCCAGGACTGAAATGCATTTTGTTTCTGTGCTCGTAGAAGCAAATACTCGTCTTTATTTTTTTTTGCATATGAGTTCCCCTAAATACAATTTCCAAATTAGGTAGAAATTGAAATTTTAATTTAGAGTCAAATTTGGCAGTAATTTTCTACTAACGTAGTGATCAAAGTGGGACAAAAGGACTGAGAATATTCCACTACTCTTGGAAATGCACCCTGCGTTTCTTCAGTGTGTGGTGAGCATCTAATTTGAGATGTACTGAATGAGAGAGACCACAGAAGACAGTTAACAAAAATCATGCTTTTAACATACCTTAAATCGGTATGTACTCATAACTTCAAAAATACAGGTCATGTTTACTTCATCTCCCACAAAACAGCTCTTTTATAGTGATCATTCTCCTAGTACCCAGTGATCATTCCTTGAATAGATGGGTTGTTGCTGTGAAGGCTGTGGCCTTCCTCCTCCCTCTCGGAGCTCCCACCAAGAACGAGCCATGCAGTCAGGGATCACAATTTGGGTTACTCGTGCTCACTTGTGGCTCACCCCACATACCCTGTTGCTGAGATACTTGCTTGTAGCTGTTGTATAAGAAATTGTTGTTGGGCTAATACCAATCTCTGAATGTATTCCCTCACCACAAAAGGTTTTACTCGCAACTCAAGCAGCGTGTCACCTCACGGCTATGTGCCAAGCACCACCCCTCAGCAGACAAATTACAACTCTGTCACAACAAGCATGAATGGCTATGGGAATGCTGGAATGTCAAATTTAGGCGGTTCTCCAACCTTCCTGAATGGATCTGCTGCCAATTCTCCCTATGCCAGTGAGTATTATATGACTCTTTTGTATTTGTACATTTTCATTACAAAGAGATGGTAACTTTTCTCCGATACTCAGTATTAACTTTCTATTCTGAGCACTTGATGCAGAGCTTAGGCTTTTCTCTCCTCCCCAGGCCATTGACCTCTGAAGCACTTGGAAGATGACGGTGTTGCCAGCAATACTTTTCTTTATTTTGCTATTATTATTTTGGAGTCTCATAAGAGCTGAAAAAGAATAATGTCTCTCATGATTTGTGCTGATAGTTTCATAACTTGTCGTATACTCTGTAAATAAGAAATTCTGTCCTCAACATTGCCAATTCCAGAAAGCAGGGATGACATAAGTGACTTAATTTCTGTTGGAGTGCATCAAATATTATCAGTACACACTCTTTGCTACAATGAGGATGGGAGGAGGCTAAAGATATTTGCTGCAGGAAAAATATTTGCTGCTGTAAGATATGAAGGGCAGAAAAGTTTGCTGTAATACTGGCAGATTGACATTTCCATAAGCTCCATGATGATGTTTCCAAGACCTCTGAACAAATAATATGCTCATAACCTTTACAGACACTATGAATTACTATTGGGTCTAATCTTGATTGCTTATATGCTATTTGCTTTGTAACTAGGTAGTATATTGACTTCACTGAGATTTTAGTATTAGTCAGTAAAATGTGACAATGGTTCTCAGAGTTTGTATTTTAGTGTCTGTACAGAGAATGCCACAAAGGTTCAAGCCATACAAATCATACATCCCATGGTGTAAAGCACTTGCATTCTACAGTCCTTGTTCTGGAAATGCTTCTGTGTAGGACTTTCTGTATGTTAATGTTAAAGGTTTAGTTTAACAATTTTGTATATATATACATATACATATACATATATATATATATATATATGTTTTTGTTGATAAACACCTATGAACCTTTTCTGCCACAACTAACACAGCTCAGTCAGTAGTCTCTATTCACTTGAGAAAATTAAATGAATAGGACCTGCCTACAGACATCTGCAGAAAGCTACAATCAGAATCAGGCCAGAAGGTCTTGTCCTATAAATATGTTTATAAACTGAGACCCTCACATGGACAGGAGAAGCAGTGCTGAACATAGCAAGGTTGAGCAACCTGGTCTAGTGGGAGTTGTCCCTGCCTGTAACAGACGGGTTGAAAATAAATGATCTTAAAGGTCCCTTCCAATCCAAGCCATTCTGTGATTTTAGGACTCTATGAAATCTTAAGGTTAGTGTTGTAACAGCAGTAATTAATTATTCTGACTTCCATTGCTAGACTTCAAAATTTAAAAGAGGAAAATATTACCTTCAAGGCTTCTTAACAGCTGCAAATTTAGAAGAAAATATTTACCTATGTAACTAGTACTTAAAATTTAAGAATTGCTAACTGGTTATTATTTTGTACTCTAATAATAATGTAGCAAATACCATTGAAGTATGCTGTACTTACTTATTAAGTTGAATTTACTGTCATAGAATCTGCACACTCTGAATTCATAATATAACATGATTGATGAGACATCTCCTTTTGGAAGCAATGCCAGTGATGCATTTAAAATACTCAAGCAATGTATAATTTCATATTTATGAACAAAGTCCTCTTCAGAATAGCACTTCACCTCTCAGCCCTGGTTCTTTATTCTGGTGATATTTTGGGAGGTTTTCTTGGTAGATCTGTCATTCTGCTAATGCCTAATCCATTGAATCAGAAAATGCTTCAATCATGACCTGAAAATTAAAAGGTGGCATTCTTAATTAAATCAATAAACTAATTGCTGTATAGTAGCAATTCAATTTAGGTGCTTTGATTGCTCTCCCCTAGCAAGTACTTGTAGACATAGAGTGACTTCAGACTAAGATTGTATCTGTCAGGCAGTGAAACTTTGAACATTTAATTTCCATTAATTGATTTCCTCAGTGTTAACAAATATGATATCAGATTTTCAAATAAGAACTTAAATAGGGTGATTTTTATCTACATAAATGCTAATAAAATAATAATTCAAAGCCCAGATGGCATGAATTTTACTCTATAATATGTAATTTTTCATAGTCCCCTCATGTATGTAAGCAGTTTCTAAACAGGACAAACAATAAAAATACAGGATATTACTTGTTTTTTTTTCTTTTGCACGAAGATGGAAGTGTTAGTGCTGTCTGAAAAAAGGAGTTGTTTTGTTTGCATGAAAGTAAAAACCACTTAAAATCTTAATGATAAGTACATGAACAAAAGGCATGTATTGCATCATACAGTAAAATAGGATTTTAAGGGTGTCTCTACCCTCATGCATGTTTATCTGAAACCCTGTAGTCTTTCTGGAGGCAAAAATGCTCAAAAGTGCTGGCTTTGGAATCCAGTTAAAAAGTTAGATTGTTCCACATTAAAAATTTGAATTCCAGATGTGTACTTTAACCCCTCTCCTCACCTCTGTGTTGCCTGCGTGATCTGGATTCCCTCTCGTTTCCTTATTCTGACCAGGGCAATGGGTGATGCCAGTCCCTGGAATAAATGTTGCAGTGACAGAAAATTGAAGGAGTCCTCGAATGCACTAGAATTGCTGCTCCTGAGCAGTTGCAAAAGGTGGGCTTCTTTCAGCGACAAACTGCACTATGAGCAACCACTATCTGTAGTAAAAGCCTTGGCCACTTGAAATTATACCCAGTCAATCCAACAAGCAGTAGTCTTTTGGTTTTGCAGTAGTGCTGACTATCTAATCCTAAGGTGTGCCTTTTTGGGGGGGTCTTCTTTTTCTCCAGTTGTGCCATCAAGTCCAACAATGGCCTCCTCCACTAGCCTCCCCTCCAACTGTAGCAGTTCATCTGGGATTTTCTCGTTCTCACCAGCCAACATGGTCTCAGCAGTGAAACAGAAGAGTGCTTTTGCGCCTGTCGTGAGACCGCAAACTTCTCCTCCTCCCACCTGCACCAGCACCAATGGCAATAGCCTGCAAGGTAGGTGAAACCAGCTCTGGAGTGTAGACAGCTGCTCTCAGAACTGTAAGTTCCCCACGCCTTGCAAGGCTCTGAGTGACACTCAGGTTTCGAAGGGGAGAAGACAGTGGGGGATCCCTGGTGCCCTCTGTCCTAAAGTTTCCTCCCATAAAGAGTAACTGTACTCCACCGACAGCCCACCTAGTACCTTGCAGGTGTTTGGCAACCACCCTATCTCTAACCCATCTAATACTGATGAATTGTGAGGCTGTGTATTTTAAATCACAGACCTGCTGTTATGATAAAAACGAGTAATATTTCAGCTTACTAATACCATCCTTTTTCTTTCTTTCCTTTCTTATTCCCTGTTGTCGTCCATTATCAGACCAGTCTTTTGTGGACTCTAGCAAGTACTCCACTGCAGGGTCTCTCCAGGGGCTGGCCTTCTCCTGAAGTACGTCACTCAATCTTCCCTTCCTTTTTTTTTCCTTTGTCATAGTACACTTGTGCAGAGATCCTACTGGGAGCAAATAGACCATTACAAAGCTTGGCACCAACCTCTGCCTTTCATATGTAGAAGACACATTACAAACTAAATTTTCCAGTTTAACTCACATCAGGGTATATATTATCACTGATTAATGCACTCCTGTGCCAATTAATTCCACAAATGATGCACGGCATCATCAAATGTTTGTAGAAAGGGGCTGCTCCTTTTCTGCACCCTCTCATTCAAAGTATTCCAGCATCAGCACCTAAATCCCTTTTGAAGAGCTGACACAAGCTGAGGGGTGGCAGACAAAAGGTTGTCAAACTGAAGATGCTAAAGACCAACACCAACAGTTTCAGTGTTAGATTCAGTCTGTTTTACAACACCGCCTAAATCTGTCTGTATAATTACCTCACCCTGCATTAGAGTGCTGAGAGAGATGTTTTCATGCTCACTTAGACTAAGGAGTGTTCTTAACCAGATGCCTCCAACTGTGCCAGAGATGGAAAAGATTTTGTGGTATGCATTGTGCTTCCCCCAGACTTGAGGTCTGTTTTCCTTTCCGTGTGCTTGTGCAAATTACCAAAGAGCACCAAGTGGGGGACAAAATCCGTCATTTTAGAGCTATGTTCAGAAGGAGGTGCACAGAGAGCTTGGCTCCGTAGACTCTGTGTCGCCTTACATCCTCTGGAAAGAGAGATGCTGGGCTTGCAGGCATAATGCTGATAGTTCCATTATAGCTGAAAAGTCTAGATGCAGGCAGAGTGCAAGGAGTTCATTCATAAAAGCTGTGATCCACTATGACTGAAGAGAAGCATTGTCCTCAGTGCAGTTTATGCTGGTGATTTGGGAGGATCAATCCTTTCACATTTACAGAGGCACACAGAAACTGTGAAAATAATAGGAAGGTATATGCAGCTGTTGGGTGCCTTCTGTAAGCAGTGCTGTAAACACAGACTACATCAAGAATAAAACACAACAGAGTTTTTGGATGAGCTGTGTTGCTTAGAATATCGTTTTTCCTACGTTTTAAAAATCTGGTGATGCTGACGTGCTACAAATATTGAAGGCTAAAGCAGCTAAAAGTGTTTTGTCTGAATTAAAAGAAAATTAAAAGGAACTAATTGTTGACTGCCAGAACACACCAATGTTTTTATCATCTCTTCACCTTGTCCCAGTGTGCTGTGAGGTTGCAGTGAAAAAGCAAGTAACAAGAGAAGATTTTTCCCTTGTTTTTCCTTTCACGGGATACAGAATTCCCAGGTTCTGCCTACTGGGTTATGGAAAGCAATTATGGAGCAAGCTGAGTGCTGGATGCAACTGGGGCTTGCTGATTGCCTCCTCATTATGTCACATCCAGATCTGTAATGCTCAGAAAACACACAGATCTGAGTGTTCCCCCTAATTTTTGTTTAGCAATTCTGTTTTCATAATAGGAATGAGCCACCAAGAGATTCGTTTTAAGGGTCATCACTGCACTTCTTGGTGAGTTAAAGATGCACAGCCTTTAGCCCCATGCCTTCTGATACCACCCGAGGCTTGTAATAATCGCTCAGAAATGCACTGCCTGTTGTGCCTTATTGCTTAAATAAACAATCTTGTATAAGGAGGCTGTCTTATCTCTCTTGGGCTTCTGGATACATCAGAAAGCAATCAAGCTTTCCGTATGTAGCTTAGATATCAGTAGAACTCACTAAAACAACAGCTAGGCTTATCTGTTGTTCTCTTTGCCATGCAATTTTGTAAAACTCAAAATATACTATTTCTGTAAATTGCTAGCAGCAAATGCAAATTAGTATATGATAAAAGAAATAATGCCCTTTGGTGGGAGTTTTTCTGGGTTTTCTTTGCCCTCTCTTTTTGGAGGTGTGATCACATACCTACAATGTTTCCCACTGCTATCTCTGTTTTCAGGATTAGTAACATGCTACAGCTGAGAGAATTTGCATGACTAGATGTAGCACTTATGGAATAAAAGTAGAGTGATATAAATGAAGACTTGGAAAGAATGGAAATATCAAGGCTTTTAGGTAGAAAAGAGATCATTTTGTTATTTGCCTTGTAATTTAATTCAGAATTTCAGGGCTCTTCAAAGGCAATAATGCTTTGAAAAAATGAACAAAGATCTGCATCTGTACAGTTTCCTTCCAATGGCAAGAGGTGCACAGCTGATATGTAACTATGGAAAAACATCATGAAGGCAGGAGTTACAGTTATGTCGCCTTAATCTGGGATCCTGCACACTGATGACAGCCATGCTGTCCCAAGAGAAAAGCAGTTCTTGACCACTTTTTGGTAAAATTGATTTGGGTTTAATGAATCTTTTAGCTTTTATCTATCTATCTATCTATTTATTTATTTATTCATTCTGACACTTTTTGAAGTTTTACATATTAGAGGTATGAAAAGGACAAAATGCTGAAGGAGGGAATTAATTAGCCAAGTGACTCAGTTCAGTTGCACTCATCAAATGTAGGAAGACTTGACCCATTCCCATCTGCTTAGCTCATAGCTTATCTGAACAACAAAGGAGGAAGCATTGCTCTCATCATAGCTCTTTGTGTTGTGATATACATCTGTGGTGTGCAAGCTCTGCAGCTTCCCACATCCAAAAATCTCCAAGTGCTTTACTAGTATGGATAGAAATTATTCTCATGTAAGAAACAGAAGCAAATCAAAATGCTTGATGTAATACAGTGAGCTAGAAGAAGGACTGGGACCAAAACCAGAGTTTCAGATCCATGCCCATGTCAATCTGTCATATATTCTTACAAGAAATGCCTTTAGATGTGAGTGATCACCTCACATGGCTGCCACAAGCAGAATTACAGTCTGACTGACTGTACCCATCATGGCACTTTGCAGATGCTGTGGATGTCCGTGGATCATGTCCCGTGTTCATACCCCAGCCCTCAAGTGTAATGATCCCAAGAGCAGAGTAGGGAGCAACTGAGTATCGCAACGAGGGCATTGCTTTTGACTTGGTTTTGCTTCATTTTTATTCACCCGTACCAAGAGTAAAGCCCACTTTTGGGCACTCAGGGCTGCTTATTTGAGATACTCCTGAGATAAAACCCTTTGGCAAGGAATCTTTAAACAAAAGTCTATCAAGTTCATCCTATGATTTAAGATGAAGGAGGCAGCATAGCTGTGGAGATAACATGGAAGTGCATCCACAGATTATCTCTTGGTGGAATCAAAAAAAGCCCATGTCAGGAAATGCCTCAGCAAGGAATATTTAAGACACAGCAGTGTCCTCTGTACTCATTACTTGTGTGTCTTCTTGTAGGGCATAAACAATGTAACTCACCTCTCTATCCCTTTAATCCTCATTCCCATCACCTTGCAGAGCACTTATGTGGAGTGATAACCATCACTGTAGTGATACCACATAACTTGTGGCTGAATGATAAACTCTAGGAATCAAAATTGCATCATGCCAACTCTGAGGGCGGCCTCCTGCAAACATGTGGATGTGTTTTGCATTCTCGCCTTCTCCTCTCATTTTATTTCATTTAATCAGTGCAGTTTACTCGAGCTGTTCTCCCCTTGCTGATTAGACTTGTAATTCTTGCACATATGGTGGTGTTTGTGGAGAAAACATTTCCCTCCTCTCCCCCTCCAACCCCAAATCTGTGAGTCTTTTACTTTGGCTCTGTTCTTATCAAATAATTGCAGCTGTAATTAAAGCACAATGAATCAGCACCAGTCACAGGGTTGATTTCTTCCTTAAGAAATTACATGTCCAGATGTCGGAGATGGCAGGCAGTTCTAGCATTTAAATAATGTGCCCGTGAAGTGCCGCCAACCTGAAGGCAAATCTGTTTTCTACCTTTCTGCAAATAACCATACAACTGGCGTTTTAAGGATGTGTTGTTGTCACAGCTTTCATCATAAACTTACATGACTACCACCTGTAATGATGTGCTTGCTCACAGTATGTCACTGGGACGCTTGCTGTGTCTGATCCCTGATAAACAGAGACCAACTGGAGGTCAGGCGAGGTGGAAGGCTGTAGGTGTTGACCTCTAAGAAACGTCCTTAAGAGAGGTGCTGGTTCCATAGGAATGAAGGTTAGAGAGCGTAATAAAGGATGCAATTCAGTCGACAATAGAGAGGGCATTCTAAGTTAAAGTTAACATATTACTCAGTGTAGTTGGTGAAATCTACAAGTGTAATGAAACCATGGCTTAGTTAAAGGCATATTTCTACTTCAAATTTAGATTTTAGAGTTTAAGTCACTTCCGAGCACCTGGAAATGCATTCATAATGCTCCAGGTTGAACACTGAACATGTAAGAGAAAACTGGCATAGGAAAATGAACCGCTGTTACTCTGCCTAATGCAACAAATGCACTGCCAGATCGCTGGCACCGGCGGCCTATGGACGTCAGCCATTTGTTCATGTGTGAAGCAAAACATGCAGTAGAAAATGTGGCAGTGGCTGAGGCAGGTTTAAACCTGTTGAACGCTTAGAGATTTTGAAACTAAAATAAAAGAGTAAGTTGGGGCCCGATTCTCATGTTTGTGCAAAGTGCATTTACTCTGCAAGAAAATCACTAATTTCTGCAGTCTCTTGCAATTTATATTTTCCAGCCAAATATGTTGCTAGTAAATGTTTAAAGGTTGCATTACAATGCACAAGAGTAACTCTTCTCCCTCTTTTTCTCTTTCTCCTCTCTCCCCCACCCTCTCCTTACAACAGCTATATCTGGCATGATTGTTCCCCCCATGTGAAAGAATTGCCTTGAAGAATTTTATTAATGAAGAGGTTGAATTCTGCTTCAGAGAGAATCTGATACAAGTCCCAGAGCGGAACTTTTTACTCAGGCCTTTTTAAAAATAATAATAAAAAAAAAGAAATAAAGAAGAATCTTACAATAACTGCGGATTTTTAAACAAAAAAAAAATAAAAAAAAATCACCATCCTTGCAAACACTGAAATTAACTATCTGCAATTGCAAGGTGTTGATTCAAGTTGTCCATCCCAAATAACTGGGAGATATATTTATTGTACGTTGATTAAAAAAATCCACTTTTCTTTTGTTGTTTTTTCTTTTGTTGTTTTTTTTCGTTGTTGTTGTTGGGTTTTTTTGTGTGTGGGGTTGGGGGCTTGCTTTTTTTTTTCCCTTTTTTTTTTTTGTGTGTGTGTTTTTTTAAGGCTTGATTTAACTCAACATCATTTGTCTTTTATAAATCATACAATTACGCAAGGGACACTAGAGATGGAACTCCACGTTTTTAATTTATGAATTTTTTTTTAAGCTGTGTAAAGAAAATGAAGTGGTGTCATTTGCCTACAAGTCTGTATGGGACAGAATAGAAGTGCCAGTTAGTTTTTCGTAGAAGAATTATGGCCATTTAATTAAGGGTCGGCTCATACAGGTTGCTTATCCAGTGGTGATTTGCTAATGTGATACATTTTTAATGTTCTCATTAAATGGATATCACTCCCCAGAAAGTGAATACTTTTGGATGGTGAGACCAGGATGGGGGGTGGGATTTGGAACCTCTGTCTTTAATATCAGGCTAAATAATTGTGTAAATAGTGCGACAAGAAAAGTTGGTTAAAGCTTAGAATGCAAGTAACAAACACATTCCCTCTTGAACTCAAAATCCAGTGCCTCCAGATACACTGCTAAAACTGCAGCATTAGATTAGCATGGCTCTCATTAGCTTATGTATCCAACTCTTTCCCAATGGGTGGCCTTCCTGATGTCCAGTGTCACCTGGGCTGTGCACAAAACGCCATTCACCTTTTGCACAGCCATCCAGAAACACAAACCACAGCCATCACGCAGTGGGCGCTCTCATCGTCCCCCTTTATCTTCTATGGGGCGGAATGAGAAAAGGCTCCTCTGCAGTCCTCCATCCTCACGATCTAAAAGCACACACTGTTGCCAGCCTCGCGCTAGGATTGTTCCTGTATCAGTCGACCCTCTCCGTTTGTATCATAATATATAAAGCCACAGGTAACTGCTTCTGAATAGTAAAATGGAAACAGGAGTTTGGGGCGGGCGGTGGGGCTGTTGGGGAGGTTTCAGATCAGAACCATCGCTTCTGTTTTACAAAAGTTTTGCTATCGTTATCTGGGAAGTGTTCTTAAAAACGATTGGTCAGAGAGGCAGCAAAGCTCTGAAAATGCATTACCTGATATTTTTTCTTTGCTGTTGTGTTTTGTATGTAGTTATAAATACTGTAGATTTTTTGTGATTTTTTGCCAAAGTTGTTGTTCTATTTATACATTTTAATGTCTTAAGACAGTTTTTCAATATCACAATAAAGAATTTTACTGCATATTTTGCAAAAAGAGCTCACTACCTTTAGCTTGCACATACTTGCAAAATTAATTAAAGAAAAAAAAAGCTTTTTGTTTCTGTTTTTTTTTGTTGTTGTTGTTCATTTGTTTTACGGGGGATTTTGTAAAATATCCATATAAATAATGTATTTATCTTGGGAATTTGTACATTGCTTTTTTCCCCCCTACTCCAGTTTATTTTATTGTGTATGTTTGCTATGTGAAAAGTGATTTGTTTGGTCATTCACCGTTGTATTAGCTGTTTAAATGTGGTTTTAAAACATTTCATTTATAGGGTTGGGTTTTTTTTTTTTTTAGTATTGTTTAAAACCATGCTTCCATTTTTTTTTTTTTTTTAATTTCCACCCAAAAGCCATTGTCTATTTTTGTATTATTTGTAAGTTAAGAAGTTTTTTCCAATATATGGCAAAAAGTAGCATATTATTCTTGTAGCATTTAGTTATGTAGATTTTAAAAAAATGTATCCTTTGCTTTTGAGGCTTAACAAAAACTAATGCTGTTTTACTCTATTAATATGCATGGGATTTCTCCTCTTTGGAGTGACGCATTTTTGTGCATTAAATATGGGGAGAAACTTCATAGAACTCAATGAAAATACTTTCTTTCTTAAGTCTGCTTGTATATTTCTCTGTCTTTCACGTAAATATAAACCAGCAGATTGGATGCCTTAACAATGCAAATCATATTCATTTCACTTGTACATTGTACTGTGCACCAGAACTGTCAATCATCACTAACATTCTAAAAAAAAAAAAAAAAGGAATTGAAAAGCACAAAAGAACTGTTTTGTTACCTTAAAACAATATAACTTTTTTCTAGTCGAGCAAGAAATCATTTACAACGATGCTGCAACTGTGCATGCTTCCTGTATGAATTCTGCAATGGTTTTCACTAGAATGTCACAGTGTGATCATTTAGGGGAAGGGAAGAAAGCAGGAACTTTTTTTTTCATGGTGAGAAAATAAAAGGAGAAAAAACTGGAAAATGTGAGAGACATCAGTTTATTGCTTCTCTGTATTCCAAGCGGTTATTCTAATTCACATAGTAAGCAACAGCACGACAATGTAATCAAATTTAAAGCCATATTTTGTCCAGTGACACCATCAATTACTCTTGTAGGGCTCCACTCAAAGTCATTGCGATTTTGACACCAGTGTTGGCCATCTATGTTTGTAGTCTTCTACACCAGTGTCCAAAGATCCTCTGACAACGTGCATCATTTTGTTTTGTTGCAGCTATTTGTAGTGGTCTGTTCAATGGGACTTTGTAACTCCCTCCCCACCCCCCGCACCACCCTTATCTTTTACAAAGTAAAAGATGCAGCTGTTTACAGAATATGGCTTTAAGTGGAAACGTCCAGATTTCAATTTTAAAAAGGTGAAGCTTCACAATGACTGGATTGCATCAAGTATGCCTATTTCCTCACAGTTGTACTAGAATGCAGCTAAAATGAAGTCATCTCTGAAACTACTAACCTTTCACCTTCTTATCTAAATCTTTTTGAATAGACACACACACTGTACAGTTCTATTGTTAGAGAAACTAACTACTGTAGAGATTGTTATAATTTTTTTGCAGAAACTCAAGCTGTAAAAACTTTTCAACTTTCACAATATTTAATTAAAGTTACTTCCTGTCTGTGAATACAGCTCCTAGTTGTGTGTTTCTTTTTCTGGCTAGTAGATGAGAATAACTAAAACATAGAAGCCAGAGGCTGCTGAGTTGTGTTTCTGAAATTAAGGAGAAGCGGAACTTTGTGGAATTACACAATGAAACACTGCAAATTCTGGTGCACTGAAACTCCTCTTATTCTGTTGCTAGTGGATTTCAAAAGATCCTCACTCCCAGTGCTGTCTGTTCACCGTCATATCATTATCCTTACTATTTCTACTGTTTTACTCCGTTGATTGCTTGAAGAGCTCACCTGTATTTCTGGTGAATTTCAGGAGCATATCTAACTTTATGTACCCAACTGCAAAGAGCTGGCCATCTAAACACAGTCATCATGAAGTACAGAACAAAGGCATACTATATTCACTGTAGGGAGATAAGTTTTCATCTCAGTATCAGTTGAGTCAGTGGCAACACATCCATTGCCATTAGGCACTCTGGACCAGGTCTTCAGTTACACGCACAGCCAGCTGCAAGAACTGCATCAAAGCAAGTTGAGCTGTACGTAGCTGCTTGACCATGGTGGACCCTTCTGTAAAATGTTTCTATTCTACTGCCATTATTAAATGACATATCCATTATCTATCATGTTTGATCTCATTTTGGACTTCTCTGGTTAGAGGGGACGATAAAGAATTTTACTTCTGGGATGAGGATGATTGACACAGTGGCACCCAACTGGTCCTCAAGTAGCTGTAGTACAGAAGACTTTGGGGAAAATTGAAAACTTTTATATGCTGTGCCCAATGCAAAGCTCTGAGCATTCTCTGGTAGGAATAGGGACTTGGAATTTCAGTTTGAATTAAAATAAAATTTACTTAATGTAGCAGAATTGCTGAGTAATGGCCTGAAGCAGTGATGGAGCACCTGGAGGGAAGGCTGGGCCAGCCCAGGGGAGTTCAGGTGCATGCAGTGCTCCTGAGTGATTGTAAAGGGTGGAGCCAGGATCGACCCCTTCCCAGACCTCTTTTAAGGGTTGGCAGTGGAAGTGAGGGCATCTTTTACTGGAGATCCCTGCCTACCTGAGGTCTTCCAAAGGTAAGCAGCTCCTTTCTTTCATTTCTGCATCCAGGCTGCTGCATTTGGGCTTGTTCTCACTTGCTGTAGCTGAAGACTTTACTGTCCCGATATTATTGTGGTACATTCCATTCCAATATAGCATTGCACTTCTTAGAAAATTTAAATTTGCTGCAAATATAAGTAGCTGAAAGTTGCTTCTTGCAATGTAAAGTGTTGGCTGGCCCTTACATATTAGCAGAATCATCCCTGAAGTTGCTAGAGGAAAAAAGTTGGCTGCATGCTTATTCTGTCTTCATGAGAAATCTGCTGCTTCTGCCTGGGATAATTCTTCTAAGCCCCTTTTGACATGGTGTAGACTCTGGCAGCTCTCACTGCAGCCAGAGGTTTTCTGCTCACTGGAAATAAGTCAGGTCACATGTAGATAAAAAGCAGTCTAAAAAATTCAGGATGTAATATCAGAAACCTCTTTGTGGATTATGTAATGGTTCTCTGCCTAGAACCAGAGTTTTGCTTCAGCCTTTTGGATCCAGTGAGCAATGGAATTGGCTGTTTTTGTATGGGGATGCCTCTAATTTTCTTTGTTTAAAGAAACCTCAGCGAAACAAGCTACCCTCACTGTTGGCTTCCTGGCCTTGTCTGTGTTTCTATTTACTCTCTTTGGAGCCCTTCTCCATATCTACA